AGAGGAAAAGGGTATTCAGGTATGTATAAAACTTCCAAGTTAATACAGTTCTCCCAACCTCACATTCAAGAGGTTGAAGAAGATTTTTACATTACTGAAACTCCAGTAAAGCTCATAGTCTTCTGGGACAGAGGGGCCTTGGAGATGTTTGGGACTGAGGTTGCCCCTGTGTCCAGTAGAGATTCAGTGGGCTGTTTTCCCAGTTATTGCCACCCAGGCTCCTAGTTGGAGATAGGAATTTGCCCAGTCTGCAACGGAGCCCCTGGGCCCCATCATTCTTGATTACTATTAGTTGTGCTTACTCTCTGCTGAACCCCTTTTGGTTTTGGAGGGCTTGTTCTGGGCATTCCCTCTTCCAGTGCCCATCCTTCTTGCAGTAAGCACACTGTTAAGGCCCCAACATTGTTGGTCGGCCTCTTGGAGCAGAGGTTGATTCACTCCCTTTCTATCTGTTGGGGGCCCATGGGGACTTACCTGGTAGGATCGACTTCATGGCAGGTCTCCCAGGGCAGCAGCCAGCAAAGCAGTTTGTTGCTTCATGTCTCCTTGCTCCCTGTTTCTCCTGCTCCTGGTCCTGGTTATTGTAGACCTTAAAAGCAACCTCTACAAATTGAGAAGTATTCATACCCAGTTTCCCTTCTAATTTTGGCATCTGGGTCGGTATCAGTACATTGATGGTAAGTTTTATATACCCATTTGAGGAAAGCAGGATTTTCCTTGAGGCCTTGTTTACTTTCTGAACTTTTGAATCTGCTTTGGGGCCCCTTTCTGGAGCCCTACGACAATGTACTTCCTTCATATGAGTCAGTCTTGCTCTGTCCCCTGGGTCATTAGGATCCCACTCTGGATCTGTTCCTGGCACTGCCTGGTGGCTGTGGCCCCTGACTAGGTTTTCAGGCTGGAGGTTGTGAAGTCTGTTGTCTCCTGCTCTACCAGAATTCTCTAATACCATTCGCCTCTCTTCAGGATAAGATAGTTAATAACATATTAATGTAAATCAGCCATGGTGAATGGCATATGAGTTCATTATGATCCTTTATGATCTAAACTGGCTAGAATCTGCTGTAATGTGTATTGCCCTGATGGATCTCCAGTCTACCTATCTATTCCCATGCAGGAATAGATAGGTAGGGTGGGGGAAATAGCACTTTTCAGTCTCTCAGTCCTTGGCCCTTCAAGCCTCTTGAACTGGCCCACCCTCTGTTTTGCTGGAGTAAGTGCCACAAAGCTCTTTAGCTCCTCCTTTAAGGGGATGGTGGCACTCCACTGCACCAGTAAGCCTTGACCCAGAGGCGCTCAGCTTTCTAGCTCCGTGGGTCAGCAAGCTTAGCGCCATCAAATGCTCAGGGGCACCTTACTCTGCCACAAACCTCCTGCCTGTCGGCCCTCAGCTTTCTCTCTCTATGGGCCAGGAAGCCTACTGTGCCATTTCCTGCCCATCTCTTGGTCCTGCTCTGCCACTGCTTCTTGTTCTCTCACACTGTCTCATGCCATCTTTTGCTGTCTCTGGTGCTACACCTCTGTCTCTCTCCTGGGTCTGAAAGGTTTTCAGTACATGGATTCTGCTGCTCCCATCTCTTCTTGGTGGTAGTGCTGTTCCCCTTGACTGCTTCTGGAAGGGCTCATTTTAAGTTTAGCGAGATGGTAAAACTGATCAATCCCCTTGTTAAAGTTCTATACATCTTATTTGCATGGTCGTACTCCCAGAAGGGTAGTAAAAGGATGGTGAAAGGAGCTCTGGTGGTGCAGTCAGTGCCTAAGACATTTGACTGCTAACCAGGAGGTTGGTAGTTCAAACCCACCATCTGCTCTGCAGAAGGAAGATGAGGCAATCTACTTCCAAAAAGATTTACCACCTTGGAAACCCAAAAGGGGTCGCTATGAGTCAGAATCGACTTGATGACAATGAGAGAGAGAGAGACTCCCACAAGGGTGTCAAGTACCTTATTTGCATTATTAGTAAACTACCTAATCCTACAAGCACCTCTATTTGCATAGTGCCACCCAGTCATTTGGTGCGAGTCAGAAGACCGTGGGAGAAGGGCCATATAAAAGTGATCTACTGCACCACACATTTACATTTACATTTACATTTACAGCTGTAAATTTCCCTAAGCACTTTCACCACACCTCATAGTTTTTGTATGCTGTGTTTTCTCCAGTAGCCTCGAAGTATTTTCTAATTTTCCTTATGATTTCTCCTTTGACCCATTAGTTGTCCAACCAATCTTAACTGTTGCAATTTTGTGATTATTATATTTTCTTTATCATTTCATATTTATAAGAATGTATAAAGTGAGGCTATTATGACCCTTTTTACAGATAAGAAAACTAAAACTTGGTGAAATTTAAGAGCTCTATCTAAGGAAGATCGTACACTTAATTAGGATAGAGGTGGGATTCAATTAGAGTAGTCTATTTTCAATTTAGGAGTTCTGGGGGCATAGTGCCTAAGGCATCTGACTGCTAACTGGAAGGCTGGCGGTTCAAACCCACCAGCCACCCTCCGAAAGAAAGTTGGGCAATCTACTTCCAAAGTGATACTGCCTCGGAAACCCAAGGAGGGGTGGCTATGAGTTGGATCTGACTCGAGGGCCGTGAGTTTGGTTTATTTTCAACTTACTCCTTTATCCACTTAACTGTACAGTCTCATATTCTCTGATACTCCAGCTAATATGCAAAATGCAAATTTCTTCTTTAGCACAGTTGTGGAGTACTGTCATGATCTTTTCTGCACAAAACTGGAAATGTTAAGTTGGTAAATGTCAAGGGTCTATTGTATTTCTCACATTTTCTAGTTGCAAATTTGAGGTTCAGAGATGTCTTACATTCAGCAAGTGTCAGTGAATGACCTCTAAACAGGTCAGTTTAGCTCCAAAGCCACATGACAGTGATTCTGAAAATTTTCTTTTTAACCTTATTAAAACATAGTCATGGTGAAAATTTATTTTCACATTTATGAAATACATTTAGCGTGCTTAATAACAGTTACAGGTATTATAGTAATAAATACTACCTTCCGCCTCTTAAATAAGGCTCATTTTAAGCCTAGTGGGACGGCAAAATTGACCAATCTCCACATTAGGAGTCCATACACCTTATTTCCATGGTACCACCCACACAATGGTGCTATGTACCTTATTTACATTATAACAAGCTATTTAATCCCCTTGTGTGTGGGGGTAACAAGCATCTCTCATTTGCATATTCTCACCCAGTTATCTGGTGGGAGTCACAAAGCTCATGGCTATAAGGGCCATATTAAACAATTCACTGCACCACAACAGGCAAAAGCAGTATCCTATAAAATTCATACATTTTCACTTAAACTTGAAGATAGAATTTTCCAACATACTAAAAAAATCTTTCAAGTAAAACATTCCAAAGAGTTTTCAATCCATTTGTTAAAAAGTATCAAAATGCAGCATTTTCTGGTTGATAACAGGAAAGATAGAAAAATACAAAATGATTTTCAACAGAAACTTTTTCAGAATTGATGGATGGGACCAATAAAAATGGGTACTTAATATTAGTAAGAGCAGTCAAAGATATACTTTTTCCATTGGGACCTACATATTTTTGTAAATTACCTTTCTCAGCTTAAGACAGCTATTAAAACCAAGTATAGAAGTAAACTGAACGTTGAATCAGACATTAATTTTCACGAAGTACTAAAGATTTTTATAACTATTGAAATCTAGTCAATCATATTACTTTTACTAAGTATTTTTACTTAGTA